CAAAAGCCGGTAAAGCAATTGATTGAACAAGTCGTGAAAGCTGCACCAAATAGTTCCCAACCCGGTACGCCCAAACAATTACAAAAGTACCCTCAACAGGTTTCAATTAAACCCGATAAAGCGACACGTGGCGATGCAAAAGAAGAAACAAAGGATCGAAAGGAAAAACCAAAACAACGGCCAATAGCTGAAATCGTCACCAAGAGACAGTCCGACAATGCTCCATCTGGGAGCACCAATTCTGAACCTATCCGTTTAAATGTGCGTCGTACTCTGAAAGAACAATTGATGCTGCGAATGAATGAAACAGGAAACGAAAATGATAATTGTAGCGGCACGTTGCCAAAACTAAGTATAGAGGAGATAGAGAAATTTGTCCAGGAAACCGAGGTTGAAATGTACGATTACTTCAGTCGGGACACCGGCTCACGCTACAGAGCTAAATATCGATCACTGATGTTCAACATTAAGGATAGAAAGAATCGTACACTTTTTGCCAAGATTTGTGCTAATAAAATCCAGCCCAAGCAATTAGTCCGAATGTCACCTGAAGAGTTGGCTAGCCAGGAACTGGCGCAATGGCGCGAGAACGAAGCAAAGCATCAGTTAGAAATGATAAAGAAATCAGAACTTGATTTGCTTTCTTGCGCTAAAAATTACGTTTTGAAAACACATAAAGGGGAGGAAGTAATCGAGGGAAAATTGGAGGATTGTGTAAATTTAGATGCAAACATACCTGTTGAAGATGTAGTGTCTGTATTAAACAGCTCAGTTGTGAGCAGTAGCAGTGCATCAGATCTTGTTAAGACAGATTTGGACCCGAATTTGTTGATTGACCATCAACAGAGCGGTGAGATCCAAGGAACCAAAAGTGGTAGCTACTTCGATGAAGAAAAACAAAAAAGTCACTCTAAGGATAAGGATAGAGATCGAGAGCGCGAAGGTGAAAGGGATCGAAATCGGGATCATGGTCATGATCGTGAGCACATTCACACTCGTGCGCGCTCACATGATAGCGACCATAGTCGAGAAAGGCAACGAAAAACTAAAGATCGTCATAGAGATAAGTCCAGATCGCGGAAACGTAGTCGAAGTCATTCTCGCAGTCGCAGTCACAGCAGAGAGAAGCGACACAAAAGTTATCACAAAGATGAAAAACGAGAGAGGGAAGATCGGGAACGCGAAAAAGATAAAAACAAAGAAAAAGAACGGGATCGCGAACGAGATCGTGATCGTGATGTCCGCCAACAAAGAGATGAGTGCGATAATAATTCACCTGTAACGGCGAACTCGAATAAAAGCAGTACTATAAGTAGCAGTAAAGACAAGAGTGGTTTAAAGAAGGCAAACACTGCGAAGTCAGTAGAAGCCTATAGTTTAATAGATCAAATACTAGAATCAACAAAAACTGTAGAAGAGGCTGCAAACCTAATAAGCGAAAAAGGAAAATTTAAGGAGAAAGACAGGGAAAAGGATAAACACAAAAGAGAGGCAATCAGACAAACCGCCACACCTCCCTTGCCTACGTCATCGGAAATTAAGTTCGCAACTGAACACAAACCGACAACGTTAAGTGCGCACACAAACGACGATCAAGAACCAACTAGCACCGTAACTATAGCAACACCACCACAAGATCCGTACACTCGTTATACTGATGCTGATTCTCCAACATTAAGTGGAAATTTATCCTCTACAGCACTTTGGAGCGGCAACATTAATATGGTCGACGTCGCTTCTTTTCAGATTGTGCTGCAACCAGTTATAGGAAACTGCATAAATCTGGGCACTTTGCTACCCGATGAATTAGATGTCGTTGGGCGTATAGGACCTGACACTGTATGGGAATATATTTCTAAAATTAAAAGAAGCCCCAACAAAGAAATTGTCATTATTCGTCTAATTCCTGGTTCAGAAATGGAAACATCAGCCTACACTGTGCTATTTCAATATCTTGAAAATAGAAATCGCTTGGGCGTCATCAATAGCGTGTCGCCGCAAATAAAGGATTTTTATATATATCCATTGGGAGCAGGAAAGCCAATGCCTCCAGTATTATTGCCCGCAGAAAAAGTGGATTTTTATGAAGATCCACACAGACCCGATATCTTAGTGGGTGTGGTAGTGAGAATTATTGGAAAACGCCACTCGGCACTACCAAACATCGTTGCATCGACTTCAACGTTGAAAGTAATTATTGTAATTATAATCATATATCATTACAGAACTAATTTTTAAGCACGCGAAACGATTTCACTCAATACAAGTGATATAGTGTCACACTTGCTACACAAATCTATTTTATCCCAACATATTTTAACGAAATTTTTTGATTACTTAAAGTCACATCGTCGTGGAGTCGATCCGGATACGTTTACCCCTCCTGGCAGTCCGAAGAGAAAACGTCGTATGCATGCATCTACGCCGAAAGTTGACGAAATTGACGTGGATGCTATAATAAAGGCACCAATCATTACAAAATCGCATAAAAGTATGTGTGAAAATTTAATATTAAACAATTTTTTATACTCTTGCAATATGTCGCTACAGAGAATAATAGTTTTGTACACCTGGCTGTATGTCCGAATGTCCGTCTGCCTGTGCAAGCTGAAACTTGGTACACGTGTTCCTTGGCAAAAAAAAAAGTAAGCACGAGTTCGTAGATAGACGTAATCAGGCCACTGCCATTCCCACAAACCGTCATTTAACGAAAACCATAAGTGCCTTAACTAAGCACCAAATTATAGAATTATAGAACTGTAACTTGGCGCAGGTGATCGCAGTAGCAAGGGGCACCTGTGGGCTAAAAATTTAAAAAAGTATATGGCGTGGCCCCGCCCTCTAAAAGGTTTAATGTACATATCTCCTAAACGATTCCAGCTCAAATAACAAAATTCGCTGAGGACAAATCTTTTAAGCACCTCTATCGACACTGTAAAAATGTATAACCGCCCACACCCCATATAACGGTACTGTTAAAAACTACTTAAAACGTGATAAATCAATTTCTAAATACGCCAGAGCAATTAAATTTTACTCCTGAGATGGTATGAGATGACTTTATAGGAACCACGTTCAAAATTAGACAGAGGGCGTGGTACCGCCCAATTTAGGTGAAACCCCATATCTTGGGACCTGCTTAATCGATTTCAACCAAATTCGGTATATAACATTTTTCTCATATTTCTATGTTTTAGTGCGAAAATGGGCGAAATCCGATTACAACCACGCCTATTTCCCATATAATACCATTTTCAATTCCATCTGATTCTTTTACTTTCCACTATGCAAATCAAGCCACAATGGTTATATCGGCGTAAAACCTTGCGGGAATAATATGTTTAAAGTATGCCACCTTGTGACCAAAAATAGTTTAAATTGAACCAAAACTGCTCAAGCCTCTAGGTACTGAATATGTGGACCCCAGTGACTATATTTGACTTTTTACCGAAAATATCGGTCAATGTGTAAGATATATAATTGAAATTCATATAATAAAATAAATAAATGAAACTCTCGATTATACAATAGAATGTTTTTGTGTCAAAAATTGGTTAAAGTTTTGCCAGCACCTAAAGAAATTTCCCGTTCTTTAATTCTTGCAATTAGCAAGAGCATAAAATGTTTGGTAACACCCGAACTTAGCCCTTCCTTACTTGTTTTATAATAAAAAAGCACTTTCTTTACGTAGCTTCTCTACCCCCATCCACTATGAAAGATGATGATAATGAGCCGTACTCACCTGGTGGAAGTTCTGATGATGATGCACTCATAGCATCTAAAATGCCCACAAGATCTGATGAGGACGACTTAAAACGTAAAATGGACGAACTGAATCGGCAAATCGCAGCACAAGAAAAGGAAATCGCAGGTCTACTCAATGTAGATTCATCGGTAAATGAGTTTAATTATAAAAAAGAGTTTGGACATGTCTAATCTGTTTTTATTTTTAGTGTTTCGCTTCCACTTCGGCTACCAAGACTTCGGCAGTTTTAGCAAATATATCGATACCTTCAAATCTCTCTCAAATACTTGCCAGTATAAAGAGCAAACCGGATAGCAATCAAACGCATTTCTCCACAACGACACCACAGCCTCAATCAACATTGATTCAAAGTGTAAGAAAGAGCCATAGTAGTATGCTTGATGAGGAGGAGTACAATCCTGAGTTAGTTACATTTGACACAAGCGGTAAGTCCTTAATTTTACTTATTTATGTAAACTTATTAAACAGAATATATATTATCAGCCAAGCCAGCAGAAAAACCTTCCAGTCGTTTGGCTCAGTTAAGCGAAGCGGAACTTTTGAGTATGGTTCCTGATGGCATGATAGATACTCCACCGACGCAAAAGTCTCATTCTTCTGGCACTGACATAAAATCATCGCATTATGAGGAGCCTCCGCCACCAGGCGTTTAAATTTTTACGCCGTATTAAAATGTACATTTACGGTCGTAATTAATGCGTATTTAACGCTTTGTTATTGTTTAATATAAATTCTTAGACTATTTGCACTAGTTCTATAACTTACCTTACCTGACTGGTAAGTTTTGTGAAGTTTAGAAATTTACACTATTTCTCAAAATTTCTCATTATTAAGCACACAAAATCGGAAACAACTAATTTGCTAGGCAAAAGTAATACGAATTCGATGAGAAGAAAGTGGGTGAACTTTGACCTTAGGTCTTTAGTTTTGCGTACAGGGTTATGCATATATATATATGTTTACTTTCTCAGATTGTAGCTTGCGTTGAAGGTTATACTTAATGGAATAGGTTACTAACAATTTAGTAACGCCAATTCGAAAGTTTGGCACTTTACAGGTCGGTGTACAATGTGGAACGTATATTTTTATATAATATGTTCTTACATATGCTCTAATTTTAATATTCAGTTATATTGTATTATAGAAAAGCTTGCTTGTAAAATAAAAATAAATGCAGAAGCAAAAAACATAACATTGTTGTTTGTTTGATAAGCTATAAAAATGAATGCAAGTATTTTTCGTAATATCTATTTTATTGTGGAGAATATTAATGTTTTATCATTTTTACCTTGTTTATATGAGTAATTAAGATACGAACGATTTTTACTAATTTTTAAACATTATACTCGTGATTATATGCAATGTCTAAATTCAAGCACACGGATCATGTTTAACATTGAAGTGGGCACATGTTACTTTAGGTCCACTACGTATTCTAGGGACTGGTATTCGAAAAAGGTTACCCTTCGGCATGCAAACACATATTTTATATTGAATACTGCCAGTACGCAGACCGAATTCAGAGCTGACGATTGGTATTTTTTCCATATCCAAATAAATTCCGTCACCAGCCTCTAAAACAATTAATCCTTCGGTTGAATTAACGGTCATATCGTAGGAGAGTGACTGTATAAGCACATTGGCAGCATCTAATGTGATTCCCTCAGATCCTTTAAATGAAACGCCAACTTCTGCATCCATACTCAATGAACTATCGATGGGACTTGCTATGCGGCCAGCGCTCACCGTTTTTGCTAATAAACTTTCGGCGCCAGCTGGAATGTTGTAGTGTGGGCGATGGGATGTAAAGATAGTATCACCGCTGGTTGAATCCCTCACTTCGAAATTGTTAACAGCTTGAAACTGTATGCCGGATTTATCCAACGTCAAGCGATTATAAGCCTGACCATTCTTATGGAGCCGCACATAGACACCATCATCACCGATAATTGTAACAGGATCACCTATAAACCCTTCAATGCGACCGTTTTGTTTACTGTACACACGATCTAAATCGGTGTATCCGTAAAACTTAATCAAATCGTGTTCGGGTATTATCTCCAGACCATTAATACCTCGACCGAGATGCATCACACCGAATATTGTGAGCATAAGTATGAGATTGCCTATGGTTAGTGCCAGCAGTATAAAAAAGATCGTCCAAAAGGCAAAAGTTTTACGGCCTTTTTTGATTGTACCACTACTAACCGCATCATAGGCGCAATGAAACTTTTGTTCTAAGCAGTTATCAACATCGGACTGTATGTGCAGATCTGACTCCAACGGAAGTGTGGCTGACAAACCATTCTCCGACGGTGCATCATCAGTGTATGAAGGCGACGGTCCACGCACAAAAGTGTTTCCATAATTGTGCATTGCAAATGATTTAATTTGGCGTTTTGTGACGAAAATATTCCTCTGATATGTATTTAATAGATACAACTTGCTTCTATGAATAGCAAGTGCCACAATTTTTACTTTAAATGTGCATATGGGAGAATATAAATGTATATACATACATATATGTATATGTTTGCATTTACATAAAAATATACAAAATCATATACATATGCATACTTACATATCAATATATCAAGGAATACATTTTTTAGCGCTCATGCGCAGGAAGCGACCCATTCACTCGTTTTTACCTAATCTGAACATTTTCTATACCCTGAACAAGTTTGATTAAGTTTGCCACGATGTTTGTAACACCCAGAAGGAAACTTCTGAGACTCTATAAAATATATGTATGTATGTGTATCTAAATGTTCAGCGTGACGAGCTGAGTCGATTTAGCCATGTCCGAGATGTCTTCTCAAAATTTGGTAAGGGTTATTATCTTAGGCAATAATGCAATTTCCGAAGAAATTGATCAGATCGGATAAGGATAGCATACAGCTCTCAGCAAACTGAATGATCGGAATCAAGTGCTTTTAAGATATCTTTTGTATTTGCGAAGGGCGTTATAGTTAATATTTTTTTCTTCTTAAAATTGAAAATGAATTGAAATATCATCAAAACGAACAATAAAATTTTAATTCCAAATGCTTTTGCTTCTCTAGCAAATGAGAGTTGGATGAATAATTTCAGAACTCTCACGAAAAGTATTGGCTTTTTCTATAATTATATCGATCAGGAATGTCTTTCGAAAGATGTAATAACTCACTCACTTCCAAAACATAATTCGTGGGAAATGTAATTGGCGAATGAGATATGTTAAACAATTTTAAAGAGGTTATATTATGTATTTGCATTATTAGGGAATGTTTTTGTTTACTTGATCAGAATCAAAGTCCTCCAATTAAAAAGTATATAAGATCGCGGCGCCAAAGATATCGTAATCGTTCCCCAAAGACATATTTCTGTTTAGCTTTTGACTTTACATATGATATTATTGACAATAAATAAAAAATGATAGTGAATCACAAATTTATAATTCAGTTTTTCTGTTTAAGTATGAGTTTCTTTATGCTAGTTTTTTAAATTGTATTAAACGTGATGATGAGATGCCTTTGCATGCCATCCACATCTTCATATTTTTTATCTTGCCGTGAATAACCAATCATCTTTTGGTTTGAAATTTGATTATATTATGGAGTCCATTGGCGACGATAGATAGATTGAATAGAGGTGTCCACCGCGACCTATGGTCCATTGTGCCCTTCCCTAAGTCACAACGACTCACCTAGTCCCAGCACATTGATAAACTCCAATATACTACTAGATGCTAGTGAGGCGACGACGCTTCAGCTGTCAATTTAAATAGTGATGATGGCAATAGAACTTCTCCGGAATTAGTTATAAATAATACCACTTCAAAATCAGACACCATACAACAAGTTTGTTTTGGGGAATACATATGTATTTAAATTATATCCACTACATGAAAACAATTTAATTTGTAAGCGAATTAATTTTAACGTAAAATTACTTCACAGGATAGTATAAAAAAATTTTAATTCAATCATGAATCACCCTGTTTTTTGGTAACAAGCATTCCACACCACATTGCCATAATTCAGTTTCTTCCTATCGACTTGAAAAAAAAATCTAAAGGTTTTATAAAAACGTTTGAAAATAGCTAAATATATTTATGGAACTTAGTTGATTTTATGCCCAACAACGCACACGCATGAAAAAAATATAAAACATATATGACTTTTTTTAAATTAATTTCGTCCAATATTTATTTCAAAGGAATTCAGTGGCAGCCTTACTAACTACTTTTAACGAAAGTGTTGAATTTAACGAATCGTGTTGAGGTTCGCTTTCCAACGAAGAAAAAGAAGAAAACAAATTATGAATTGAATGGCGTTACTGAAAGTGGAAGCAATAATTCATTGTCAAAAATATAACCAATTTAACATAGTTTACATAAATTTGCGTAAAAAGTGACGTAGAAACGCGGTACCGAATCGCGTTATTAGCCAAAGCGGCTAATGTAAGGAACCGTGAATGAAATTTGAAGTGCCAGCTAGATAGCGGCGATTAACTAAGTGTGCCTACGTATGTGCACTTTTTTATTTGGGAAAGCGAGGATTTTTGGTCGTCGACGACAACGGCCATCACATTGAACGTGAATAACTAAATTAATTAATCTGTTCTCTGGTTAGATCAGATTGTGTCCTGATAAAAAGTTATACTGAAAACACTCTTGTAATTTTTTGGCGCAAGATTTTAGTTTTCAACTTTGAATGAATTGTTATATTTCTTCACTGTCACTGTACAACCTATCCATACATTTAAACTATGAGATTTTGAATACTGACTGTAAAGTGGACTATTTGTGTTTAAATAAAGTGCATTTTATGAACGTGTGCATGGTGCATTTTGCAGAACGCTTGTGAAAAAGGCATTGAAGAGTGAAAAATAGTCGCAGTAGCCGCTATGGTCACAGCAGCATGCAAGCAGGCAGGCAGAAAAATGTGAGCCATGCAAAGAGGCTGCGTTGTGAAAGAAAAGAAACGAACAAGAAGCAGCATTTAGCAGTTGTAGAAAAAAAGACAGAACCAAAGGTAGAAGGCGTACAAGAGTAAAAAGGTTAAAGAAGAGTGGAAGGAAAATAGGTGAATAAGAAAAAGAAGAAGACTTTAGAAGGAGAAGTAGCCATAGCAGTTGCAGCATAGTAATTATTGTTTTGAGACATTACGAGTGATATTTTGGTGCAGCATTTATTTTTATGTAGTTTTAATAATTTAATGTGCTTAAATTTGTGCAGTGTAAAAAAGTTAAGAGCTTTTTTTTTATTGAATTATAGGCAGCCCTTGGCTGCAGGCTGCCCGACAAGACACCAGCCGTGTCGCAGCGGACGTACCTAAAAGTGGATCAACTACTATTGTAATCTTAATTTGATTACTATGTCGCCATCTATTAAGAAATGATAACAACGGTAAGAAAAATGTACAGGTGATCCCTACGGCTCTATTTGTTTATATACAAAATTAAGAGTTTGAGTATACATTTTAAAAGTGTGTGAGGAACTATGATCCTTTTACAAAATGTTTCATATAATAATTATCACTGTAGATATAGTGCTAATACTCTAATATTTGATTTCATAAGTTGTAAAGAATTAATAAAAACAAATAATTGGATTGTCTATTTATAAATTCTAACTTTTTTCTCTAATCAACATTTATAATTACCTTACAGATTTGGTACTCCGGAGACCTTGCCCATTTCCTCATATAATCCGAATTAAAATCGCAGATCACTAAATAAGTCAACGGAAATTGCGTTAACGACAGCATTGCATATGATATGTTCTTTTTACTAAAGAGCATTTATAAGGAGCACGAAATCCTCAGATGATTGTACATCCAAATGTGCCATTGAAATTAATAATTAAAATTATTATTGACAAAGTAAAAGGCTTTTAAGAGAGAAAGAGTGGCTAGCTAAATTTTAAGGATACTTCTCTTAATTAAACCGCGTATACTCGTATAACAAGCACGCGGAAACTTTTTTTTATTGATTAGGTGAGTCAAAAAGCCGTCAACATTAGGAAGAAAAATACTACGAATATGACCCATCATCTCGGTATGGCTCCATATCGTTTGACGGGTCCAGCCGGTGGGTTATGCCCTCCTGATTTTAAACCGCCACCGCCAACGGATATAATTTCTGCTCCAAGTAATCCGAAAAAGCGACGGAAAACATCGAACGCTAATTCTGTAGCGGCAGCAGCTGCGGCGGCAGCAGCGGCTTCGGCAGCTGCTAATTCAATGCAATCACAAGCTCCTCCCACTCCTGCAGATTTGTTACCTCCTCCACCAATGGGAGGTTTTGGAGACACTATCGTCGCATCCAACCCCTTTGATGATACACCTCCCAGCATGTCGAGTAGTAGTATGTCTAGCATGAATCATATGGTAGGCCCGGGTCATTTTGGTCCGGGCGGTATGGGTGGCCCTCATATGGGAATGGGGGGACCTCATGGTCCACCACCCCACATGCATCCGCATATGCACTCCCATCATCCCGGTGGGCCTCCTCACCCACATCACATGGGGGGTCCGCCAATGCGAGGAATGAATCCAATGGGAATGGGTAGTCCTATGGGCGGACCTGGTCATCCAATGGGTCCTGGAGTTGGGCTCCCACCGCATATGAATCATGGACGAGCAGGTGGACCAATGGGTAGTCCTATGGGTGCAATGGGCGGCATGAGTCCTATGGGAGGTATGGGAGGACCCAGCATATCTCCACATCACATGGGAATGGGAGGATTGTCACCTATGGGTGGACCAGGACCAGGGCCGGGACCTGGGCCTAACGGACCACGTGCAATGGGATCACCAATGGGAAATCCGCCTGTAGGTACCGTAGGAGGGCCCCCAGGTATGTCTCATGGGCCTGGTCAAGGATCACCAATGAACTCGTTGCCAATGGGATCACCTATGAGCAGCGCGATAGGTAGCCCTCTTGGTCCACATCCACCTCATCATCAACAACAGTCTCAGTCTCAACCTCCGCCGCATATGAACAATGGCCAGATGGGCCCACCCACAATGCATAGTCCACTAGGGAATGGTCCAGCGAATCATAGTCATTTAGCAGGAGGACAAGGACCCGGGCCTGGTGGTTCTTTATCGTCGCAGCAACTAGGAACAAATATGATGGGCACCATGAGTGGTCAATGTAGTAATATTGGTCCAGGAGGAAATTCTCCAGCTGGGACAGGACCTGCAAATAATCAGAATAATAGCAATAACAACAGCAACAACAATGTAAGTAATAGCAACAACAATCAGAATCATCATCTCTCACCTGCGGGGCGTATGGGAGGTGCGACGTCTCTAAGTAATGGACCTATGCCACCGTCATCCTCGTCGGCAACGACAGCAACGTCATCAGCTTCGTCCATTTCTGTACCAACATCTTCTCCTGCGCCAGGAGGTGTAAATCCCGGAATGTCTCCGATTCATTCATTAAGTGGTAATATCACCGGAGGTCCCGGACGAAGTCCTAGTATGGTAAATAATGCAGGTTCAGGCGCTGGACCAGGACCAAGCCCGTTACAATCTCCTTCGTTGGGTAGTGGTGGGAGTGGAAATATTGGTGCTAGTCCAATGGGATGTGGTGTAGGCGGCAACACAACTGGTCTCAACATAGGTCCTGGCAGTGGCAACAGTAGCAATAATAACAGCAACAATCCCATTAATGGACCGATGAGCTCGAGTGGAAGTGGTCAGATGAGTGGTCCAATGCAGCAACAGCTGAATGCGAATGTTCCTATGCAGCAGCAGCAGCAACAACAACAACAGCAGTCTATGGCGCTTGGCGGGAACGCGAGTGTTGGACCTACTGGCCAAATACAAATGAACAATAGCGGAGGTCCAGGCAGTATGGGTTTAATGGTAGGTCAAGGACCTGGTAGTCAAGGAAGTGGTTCTAGCCAGGGACCATCCGGAATGTGCGGTGTTATGAGCGGCGGTGGCGGACCCAATCAAATGCTTCCTCCTCAACAACCACATCTAGGACCAACCCAACAACAATTAATGAATCATTCACACCACCATCCGGGAGGACCAATGCCACCTCACATGATGGGCGCTGGACCCAACTCGCATATGCACGGACCTGGAGGTATGATGCCACCACACATGGGTGGTCCTGGAGGACCTAACCATCCGCATCCACCTCATCATATCATGGGTGGTCATGGCGGCAGTTCGCACATAGGGCATATGGGCGGTGTACCTGGACCTGGTGGCGGCGGCGGTCCTGGTGGTATGAATGGACCACCACACCCCCACGGACATCATCCGCATGCCCATCCTCACGGACCTCCACATACGATGGGCGGACCAAATCCAAATATGTTCGGCCCTGGTGGTCCTATGGGACCAGGCGGTCCAATGAGCGGCCCTGGTGGTCCAATGGGCCCTGGCGGCCCAATGGGTGGCCCTATGGGAGGTCCTATGGGTCCCATGAGTGGTCCAGGTGGACCAATGGGCAACCTTGGTAGCGGCATGGGCGGCCCAAAACCTATGCCAATGGGCACTGGTAAAATGTATCCACCCGGACAACCGATGGTGTTTAATCCTCAAAATCCGAATGCACCACCGATCTACCCTTGCGGTATGTGCCACAAAGAGGTCAACGACAACGATGAGGCAGTATTTTGTGAATCGGGATGTAATTTCTTCTTTCATAGGTGAGTAACTCGACAAATTATTGTATTTAAATAGTGGAAGAATAATTTTTAATAATATAACTAATATCTATTGGCAGGACGTGTGTGGGTCTCACGGAGGCGGCTTTTCAAATGTTGAAAGATGAGGTGTATGCGGAATGGTGCTGTGACAAGTGTTTGTCTTCCAAGCCAATACCTATGGTAAAATTTAAATGTTGAAACAACACATGGACAGCGCGTTAGCGCTTTGGCTTAGAACTTAATTGACAGCAGAAACAGTGGGTATATCTAGCTGGCGTGTTGAAAACACGCATCTTTACTGAGACCGCCAGCTAAGAAATGGTTGTTATTGGTGCCGAGTAGCATTGAAAGCAGGAGCAACAACGACACAAGACACACAACACCAATGTAGAATAATAGTTAAAATAAGTTCGGGAAATGACAGCGACTGTGAAAACCGTTGGCTGCACACTGACGCACAATGAACGGCCCAATCATACAAACTAACACACATATTCACGCTCACCTACAATCACATAAACACATACTACTTTGTATAAATTTAATTGAAATGCAAACAACTAAATAGAATTAAGATACTATCATTAAATAACATAGAAAGTATAACATAAAAATGAAATTTAGAAATAGAATTTATGAATGAGTGGATTAAATGGCATATGCAGTTTAATGAAAGTAACACACGTGCAGACGCACATCAAAGTCGATCGAACCAAACGTTTTTTTAAAGGGGATACAGTGCAAATAGGTGCAAACTAAGTTTAATCTTAAGATATGCACTAATATTCCACATAGAAATCCCACCCCCAACGGCCTTGTGGGGAAAAAGTTATACCATCGAAAAGCGCAATTGCGCTAATTTATCTAATTTACATTTGGCGCACACAAACTGCTTTATATACATGCGCATTGAGGTCTCACATATGATTTTACTATAACGAGTCGGTCCAAAAAAAAAATACCACACTTCAATTAAATTGTTTACGATTTATGACAATCTATGGAAATTCCACGTAGATTCTTATTTAAGTTTGTATTGTTTTTAAAAATCCTAAAAAAAAGATCTGAAGTTTATAAAAATGTTGAAAATTTTACATTTCAACTCTTTTGTGTTCTTGTCTACTCGTAACACCATTTTTTTTGTATCGGAAATTTTCTACTCCCTAATAAAATTTTTGATTCAAATTCATGTGTAGTAAACCTTGTAATACACACTACAGTTAGCTGAAATTGCTCAATTATAAACTTAATAAATTCTTTCATTCACATGATATTTAAAGATGCATATGAAAATTAAATTTTTTATGGATTTATGAAACGTATGTTTATTTTTTTAAATCTCAGTTGACTGCAGCGTTAAAACAGAACCGAAGTGTACTTTGTTTGGATATATTATGCCCAAACCTTAAACTTTAAGAAACTGTTCTCTACTTATTGCTGTAATGCTGTGTGTTGCGACGTATATATCTAGTGTTAGTTCCTGCGCCATCTGTTTAGTTTTTTTTTTACAATTTTTATTTTATTATTATTATTATTTTACTTTCGTTCGGTTTAGTTTTATGTTGTGTGTAAGTGCTCCATGTTTTAACTAAAAACATTTTTTATGAAAGGTAATTCTGCATGTGTTAATCATAAAAGGTAATAATAAAATAACAAAGAAAGTAACGTTGAAGATAAAAAATATATAAATTATACGAAAGCTGTAATTGCCGATATGTAAAATTTACTAACTAAAAAAATTTAACATAGTCATAAGTATATAATTAAGTAATTGATCATTATTTGATTATAAGACGAATTAAATATTATGCAATGAACAATTATACGAAAATTAAAAATAAACGAAAACAAAAGTAGGTAAACTAACAATAAAATACGCAAACAATGAATAATAATGAAATAAGTACTAAATTATATTAACTGGGAAAGCCAATAATAATGTGTAATAAGCAGTTGTAGCGAATACAAATTAAGAGCAAAACAACAATTAAATGGACATCTTTTTAAATGTTATCGCAAATAATAATGAAAATATTGTAAACAAAAACAAAAAAAAAAGAATAAAGAATATTACAGAAAAATCTTGATATAGAAGTATTAAACTATAAGTTATTTATAATTAAATAAAATTAAAAAAAAAATCAAATTCAATAAAAATTAAAAAATTAAAAAATATTATAAAACCTTTCCGTCTTTTTATAACGTTTTTATTAGCTTCACTTGTGTGTATGTATGTTTTCATGTATGTGTCTTTGTAATTTTTTTCTGTGCAAGCGATAACTTGAGTATAAATTGAGATATCTATAGAATAGAATAGAGAAACCTATAAAGTGCCATAACTTAGCACTAAATTAAGATATCGAACTGTATATTGGTACAGTATTTTTTTAAAAGTCGGCGTAGCTCCGCCCCCTAAATGGTTTAATGTAAATATCTTCCAAATCGCTGAAGCTAGTCCACCAAATTTGCTGGAAGGAAGTATTTTTAGCACTTTTTCATACGCTGTGAAAATGGATAAAACCAGATAATAACCACTCCCCATATAACCGTAAACTCCACTCGGTTAAGTAAAAGTTGTAGCAATTCAACCCAACACTTTTTTAATATTACGATTTTCAACTATTTATTCAAAGTTTTATTGGTGTTGCCAATGACCAAACCAGCTAAAGGTTTTTAAACGAAAAATCAAAACAACTTCATTTACTTATTGCTCACGAAAAGGTGAAAAATTATTAAATTGGACATTAGTTATGATTTATATTAAGATGACAAAAATGTTGGTGCTAAAACTGATGTGCTGCGCATAGATTGTATCGACTCTTTATGTTCGAAACGCTTCCCAAGGTCCCGTAATTTTATTTAAATATTTCCAAATTGTTGTTGTTGTTGTAGCGACAGAATTCTGCCGAGTTGACAGTCTGTGGCCGGAATAAATCCGGGTCCGTTCCGGTTACGTAGACCCGACTGTCGTGGGAACGGACAATTTCCAAATTGTAGCTTGCCTCGCCTAGGTTCGGGATTTTACTTCACGAGCTCAACAAATTTTTCACATTTTTATGAATTTGTACATAATAATTGATTAAAATAGTTTGGAATTATTAAAAAAATAGTTCTTTTAACCCATTTTCTATTTAGATTTTTCCTAAATAAATTTATGAATGTTTAACTTCAACTGCTTGTTTTGTGATACTCTAGTCAACCTCACTGGCACAGAGTTGAAAACCGTAATACCAAAAAAAATTACAGTTTGACAACACTTCAATCAATTTTTTTTTGACGAGTTCAGTTGAAAACTATAATACCGAACTTCAGAACTTTAACCAATTGCATTCGGGTTGAAAACCGTAATAGGCGCCTTAATTTTGACATTACTCGAGAACATATTTTCAAGCAATTTTATAAATATAATATATAACACACAAACTGAACGACATATCCAATATTAAACGTTCATATAATTTTGCTTCTTACATATTGACCGATATATAATATATGGTATAAATTCTACGGGGAGTTTAAAAATCGTATATTAGGTATATAGGGGATAGATGACACAATTTTATTCATTTTTGCCAATATCACATACTATTAACATGCCACATATTAATAAAATGCGCCCTGGGTTTCATTAAAGTATCTCTTAAACCATTCAAGCTATAATAACCAAATTCACCCAAGGCAAGACACACTGTGAAATAGGGTGAATTCCGATTATATCCCCGCCCACTCCCCATATAACGGTTTTGTTAAAAACTACTAAAAGTGTGATTTCAACGAATTGGGTAGATTCTATTATCCTAACATTCCTACATCAAAGCGCGAAAATGGGCGAAGTCAGACAAAAACCACGCCTACATATTATATAACAAGTTAGGGTTTTATATAACTTGTTATTTAACAATTCGTCAATACTACCCCTATTTCCCATACACCTAGCATACGATTTTCAAACTTCCGGTTGGCTTTATACTTTGGAAAAATACTGAACGTATAATATTGGATATACTATAGTTTAATGCCGAACATATGTGAAATGGGTCCACGAATTACCCAAATTCCCATATAATACATAAAAGCATTTTCGTTATTCTCACAAACCTTATACCGACTACATATATCGGTCAGTGTTATATCTTTATAAAATTGCTTCAAAATATGTTCTCGAGTATACTTGTACTTGAGTCATGTCCAAAGTTTGTACAATCAGCCCGGACCTTTTCTGCCTCCAATATACCTCATATAGTGATTTCTGACTTCCCAACTGTTTTCAAGACGTTTAAGTTGATCAAAATGTGTGGTATTTCCCCGGCTTTGATCCTGGCATTTTACAAGAGTATGAAATCTTTGGTTACACCCGAACTTATCCCTTCCTTACTTATTATAGTAATGTTTTATATAATATATATAATGATCGTTATTATATAATATTATATATAAAAATTAAGTCGAGGAGTGGGACAGAAATCAAAATATGGTATTCGGTATTAATTCATTATCATTCATGGTACTAAATCAAGCAAAATTAATATACCCTCTTCAGGGTATAAAAATGAACGATGTGTTCTTAGCAGTAATGTGGAGGCGATTAGAAGAAACTTTTTCCTGCCTTCAAATACTAAAAAATAAATTAAGTTAGTAGTTAAGGTTTACACATGGCATCAAAACAGAATTACAAAAGATCGAACATTATTTTATAAATTATATGGAATTTCTATTTCTGAAGCAAAGAACTGTTAGTTTGTTATTTTTTCCTGGTGTACCCAACCCAAGTATTTGACAGAAAATCGACGGCCCTATTAGGTTTGCTTTATTTTTGGAAATAGTAAAAAGTCACACGGAACCATGTCTGGCGAATATGGAGGTTGTGGCATCGTTGCAGTATTGTTTTTGGCCAAGAATTCACGAACAAGCAACCAAGTGTGAGCTTTTAACAAACGAAAATCGCCACTCATAAAAACACGTCTAACCTTAGCGACTGCTACAGACATAGTAAATAAAGAATACAGCTGAAAAATGTATCGTAAAATTGACATGTGGTTTTCCAAATCCACGAAATTTAAAATTTCCAAATTCCCGTTATTTTCTTAACACATCTCCTGTGTACATACATATGTATTTAAGATCTAGATGAGTATATTAAATAGGTTTGAATTCGGCATATTCGATATTTGTAGATGTTAGTTGAAATAAGTATTCTAAATTTAACAGTAGAAGTCGTTTCCAAAACGCCCTTATCCAATGTATGAGTATAGTAATTATGTTTAAAAGATTTATTGTTTATATCTGCTTCCTCAATTTATCATATCCAGATGGTTGAATCCGTATTTGTCGTTCAGGTTTGCACATGAAATTGCTGTTACAAAGTATCAAATTTAAATTATGTAGGTAGTGTATGCAAAAGAAAACTGGGTCATCTATTTGGATGTATTGTGAGTAATTTATGGAGTTTTTGCATTTTACTCGTTTTATTATTTTATGTGCTAAAATTTCTATATTTATGTACATGAATTTCTATTGGTAAGAAAATGTCTTTTAAAATCTAGTTGCGTATGTTTGAAGGCGTTGTGGGTTTGGGTCTTGAATATGGCCACAATACATTACAAGATTAGAATACAAATAACACTCAAAAGTAAACAATACACTATGGTCTAACAAAACACTTCTGTGCACATTTAGATATCACATATAAGTGTAAACCACACAGAATAGACAAATATGTATATATTGTGAATATACGTATCCGGGAGATACCAGTAATATTACTAAAGCGAGTTTGGCAACGATAACTTTTGACATTCAACCAGTAACAAATTTCCTTTAACGATTCACAACAAATTTAGTCGCTCATAATATCCGCGCCACGTTCCAAACACCGATATAATTCTGGATAAGTTATGATATCAGCATTGGTTAGATTGCCACCGTTGTAGAAGTCCTTATAGATCTATGATGGAAAATAAAGTTTGTTTATGAACGATAAAGAAACTTCAGTCATTTGTGGATCACTGCTCCGGCACCTACCATCTGTACGATTTTGTTGTTGCGCAGCATTTCACTTCGCATCTGCATCCAAGTGCGTCGCAGGCGCTCCTCCGCCTCTGATATAAAACCAGGAGTCCAATTCTCTTGTGCACGAAAGCGTGATAGCCGATGACGCTCGACGATTGCACGCGGCATAGAGGCACGTTTACGACGACGCTCTTCAAGCTTCATACGTCGCCTTTGACCAGAGAGCACCTCCAATTGACGTTGTCGCTTTTCTTCGATTTCAAGACGCATTTTCTTTGCAACTTCCTCTCGCTTCTTACTTGCCGCTGTCTCACCATAAATAGACGCTTGATTCTGCAAAGCAAAAAACTGGCAATAATAATTTAGCCGTTCGGGATCATGTGGTGGCATAACACGACGAAAGTCTCCCAAATGACTCTCTTCCCAAGCAATCTGTTGCGAAAGCGCGCTAAGTCCAGCATCATGCGTTCCTTCTTCCAGCATTGGTGGCTCGTCGCCAGTTCTGGCTGTGCTATTAATATCAGCATTATTCGTTACTGGTGGCTGTCGCTGTGTATTCAAAGTTCTGATAGGTAAACAAATAAATAATTATGAGGTAATTTTGTCAAATTATATGAGAATTACGTGTCAGCTTTGTTCACTTTCAACAACCGTTGTTTTATGCGTTTTCGATCCTCACGTAGTATCTGCTTTTTATCGGCTAGAGGCGTGCTTACCATTAACAGTGTGTCTCTTATTAGTGCTTTCTTCACTTGTCTATCCACAAGCTCGTGCGTGTGATAGCTAGGCGAATGATTTACTTCCAGAACGTACGGTTTCATCTTGGAGTCGACCAATATGTCGAATCCGAGTATCTCGAAGCACGCTTGGATCTTATCGTGCGCCGGAAAACAGGCATGATAGTTATGTTTCAACATCGGCCAAGCACTTAGTACTGTCTTGATGATAATATCGTCTATCTTCTGCCAAAACTCATCCACTTCGTAGTTACGACGTCGCAACCAATTATTGATGGCACAAAATTTACGCTTGCTGCCGCAATCATCATTGTCACACAAATCATATTGAGAACTACGTTTATTCACTGAATAATTGGTCAGATGCATGAATAGATCGCAACTGTTCTCAGTTGTTGGCTCGACATATTTGCTGGTGGCGAAGCGCGCTAAGCCTTCGTTGTAAACAAAGATCCTCAATGGATCCACAGAGGTGATTAGAGTATAGACGCGCAAATCGAATTTGTAGCCATCAATTAATAGGGGCTGCGCAAGGAAAACAATAAATTTCGGGAAATTGTAAGTATTATATAAGAGCATTAAGACGTATGCAATACCTTATTAATATATGTCTGGCAAATCATGCGCTCTGAGGGATTTATAGATTTCAAATCGTTTGTCAACCAAATACCTCGACCCATGGCTCCCGAATCCGGTTTAATAATAAAAGTGCGTGCTTTGTTCTTGTAATTGTTATTGGCATAGTTTAAAGCGTCACCATAACTGTCATGCAAAAAGATAATGTATATGTACATATACGATGCGTTTATCTACTCACTCTGCTGGGAATATCCATGTTTTCGGAAATATTTTGTAATCGCGGGGAAACAGCTTCAGCATGCGGTTCAGATTGCGCGAGAGCAAGTCTTTGCGACAGATCTCCATCATACCTGGATAGTGGTTGATCTGTTGAAAACGCTTCATACTCTTGTACAATTCTACTCCTGGTAGTGTATCGGTCCACAAGATATTCCAAAGCTTAGCTTCTTTAACTACCTTAAAGCCCAATGTCTTTGATACACGTCCAATCATGCTGTAACGTGAATTGGATACACATATGCTCCCTTTTATGCTGCTGAAACGAAAGGGCAAAAGGGACGGTTCGGTACTCAATACATTCGGGTTGAACGGGTGGAAGCTAGCCAAGGCTAATGGCAGAAATGTTAAGTTATAGGTTTAATAAGTGGACCTGTAAATTCGTTTCAATTTTTTTTGTTGTATATAAACATTGTGATGGAAAGTGAATTTGTAGCATTCTTGTTCCAATAAGAATTATGCTACAGAAGAGTAGTTATGTATATTATTTTTGTTTGCTTCACGGTGGCACTACTCCCATATAACGGTATTTATCAAAACTTTTATTAGTAGGTCCAAATTAGGCTAAATGTCATATTTTTCAAACCAGTGTCCCAAAAATAATCGAACTTTATATTTAAACCATACAACATGCAGTGCTATCCATTGAAAATTTGAATTTTTCATATTCTTTCAAACCCACCTAACTTTATGTAAATCGGTCGACAAATGTTAAAGTTACACAAAAAAGGTTTATGGTGATGTTTGTAGTAAAGTTTATACGTGGTTTACACGATTTAAAAATGATCGTGAGGATTTATATGACAACCAAATCCCAGGTCGTCCAGAAACTAGTAATCGTGCTGAATTGGTTGAAAAAATCCGAGAAATTATTGGTATAGTTTCAAATTTTACTACGAGAATGTTGGCTGAGGGATTAAATATGCTGATTAAAGTAGCCGTAACCGCAGTACTAAGAACATTCCTATATACGATACATAATAATCAATGCATGCGGTGGTTGATCGTTCCTTACGTTGAGTCTAATGGAACCTATTTTGAAGAAATAATAAATTTCAGTATGCATTTCATTCTATATCCAAAAAGCTCGGTTATTTTTAGAAAACACCTTGTATTAATCAATAATGTCCTCTTAATTTAGTTGAAAATTGAACAAAGGCTTCTAAACTTTCTTTTCATAGAACACCATATAAGAAGTATTAGGTCCATTATTCTAACGGTTGAATTTATACGTATACATACTATATCTGTAGGTAAGCTTTTGCGATATTCCAACATAGCGATATGCCCTGATAGCGGCAGGAATATATTCGTCCTTTCGTTTTCATTTTATACCAAATATAACGGTCAGTGAAATATAAATGGATGAGATCCAACTCTAGTTTCTACACAGAAAATATAATGGTTCCTAATAACCTCTAATGTTTGCCTGAGTCTGATAAGTATTATTTGTTTTTATAATAAAATATCTATAAACATTTTACAACTTTTTTGCATAACAATTTTTAGAATATTTATTGGTTGGGCTGCACTAAAACCAAAAACCGAAAACAATGTTATGTCTTTACGCTACCTAGAAATAATGATTTACAAAATTCAATGATTGGCGTGACCACCGTTAATTCTAAAAAATTATATCATATCCAAAGAAAAAAGAAATAACGAAAATAAAATACATATATCTCATATTTGCTTTACTTACGATATATTTGGCTGGTCATCCCTTGACATTTGAGAAGATTTCGGTATACTAGCGCATTTTAAACGAAAGCACACATTATTCAACTGGATTAAGCCATCGGACACGTTTTGGCTTTTCTCAGAATGTTCGCTCTGATCATATTTCTCGCCCTTCAGCTTCTCATTGCCGTTACAGCCTTTTTGCTGCACGGAGCTTACACAGTCGCCATTTCGCTCCTTCAATGCACTCTCCAATTCAAAATCTATACGCACACCACGATTTTTTTCTTTGCGTATTTTATCTTTGGAAAGACGCCGTAACTCTTGGATTCGCTTGAAAAATTTGGAATTCTTCAAATTCATTTTTCAGGATCCTTATTGTAATATGTATTTAAAGGTATAGCAAAGGTAAGTATTGCAATTAATATTATTGCACCACTATTATTATTATCGATTGATGGCTAAAGGCAGCTGAATCGGCTACGTCCCCGTTATTTATTATATAGACTCTTCCGCTATATATTTATGTATATATTTTTTTATAATTTTGACTATCCAGCTAGTCAAAAACTTTGCTGATCGAATTTGTTTTATAGAATATTGTTTAAAAATGGTACAAATAAAGATTTCCGGCAAATATTAAAGCATTTCTTGGTTACAAATTTTAAATTTGTTTTTTTGTCGAAAATTTTGACGAACAAAAGAAAATCTTTTTGCGCTCTGCTTTTGTATTGAAACAAACTGAATCAATTTATATATCTTTTGAAGGAATATTTTCGATAAAATCTCTATGATATCTATTTATTTATTACACGGAAAAAAATTAAAATCAATTTAATGAATTTAAATTTATATTGCCAACACGGAGGGCAATTTTGCATCTCCAGTAAAAAATATTTTTTTCCGATCGGTTAAAGATGTTGGACGTTGACCCAGTATTGAGCTGTATCCCGAATCTCCGCTTTTATTTGTTAGGCTGAATAATTACTGGAACACCTTCGTAATGTTCGGCTGCATCCAAAGTTGTTTCAATTTCAATTTTTAATCTCGATAAGATATTAATAGAAAATACAACTACATATCTGAAAGTTCTCTCCAGTGAATTATTATATTAGTCAGAAATAATAATATAGTAAGTACATTACAATTTATTAACAATTATTTAATTTTTACCTCAATTCGAAATAGTCAAAAAATAATAGCTTGCAACTAGACTTATTCAACTGAAAAAAACAAGTGTGTAGTATTTAATATGTTGTTGTTGTTGTTTTATTGTTACCTAATCCTCGATTGGTTAGTAAGGTTCAAAAAAGTTATCATCGAAATCATCTAACGGTAGGCCCAGAAAACTTGCTGCTCCGACGAGGTCGGAGCATAGCGGTGTAAGGTGAGTGGGGTTCGTTGGGCTTGCAAAGAGATGGTTAGAATCATGGGGGGATAAGTAGGAGTTTAACTTGCTACAGTACCAAGAACGAAGTTACGCAAGGATTACTTTAGATTCTCGGGGCAACTCGTTCTCTTGGTCCACTATGGGTGGTGATTTGACTCCAATTACCCCATCCATGGTAGGGAGTCGGTGAAGGTGTTGATGGACTATATATAAAGGACAGTGAAAGTCTTAAGTTTGTTTCGTCCGTAGTCAGGTCGTCTGAAGCTTTTTCTTCTGCGTTTCCTACATATAGACGACCATATCGGTGCAGCGTAGTTGATGACCGGCCGACCGATTGCCTTATATTATATGTTGCCAACAACGTTTCTTTGTCCTTCCCCGAGGAGCTGCCGTCTAGCGACTTGAGGATGTTTTTGAGGTTCTCTGCTTTGGTATTGATCGCGGTCGTATGTGAAGGAGTATGGTACAGACTATCAAACGGAATTTGAGCGTTATCGACGAAAAATTTTGAGTGCTAGTTTATATTACTTCTCCTGTTAGTAAATATGGTCGCTGCGGATTTAGCAAGAGAGAGTTTTAAGCTTCTTGAAGTAAAGAAATGAGATAGGTCAAGAAGATCGAAGGTCACTTTCGAACACTTGTCATCGATTTGGGTGGTTTTCGAATTAGGCCACAAACTATCTGGGTGTTTATGACGTGCTGAGGTGGTGCTTTACCCTTTCCGGAAGCAATGTTGATGGTCTGCTAGGTCAGGTTGTGTTGGGCCGTCGAAATAACAAGGACTCAAGTGTCTTCACTGGAAAGAAGAGTTATCGGGCGAAATACGCCACTTGATCGGCGGTTTGCCCAGGTTTCAGTAAAAGGACCACTCTGCCGACTTTCTGCAAATCGAGTATTTGAAGAGTGGTCAGCGACAGGTTGAAGACCTTGGTTAGGTATCTTACACCCGTCGAGCCTGAATGCTTTAGCATTAACATATTAACTCCGTCTGTGCCAATGAATTTAGACTATTTAATATTGTTAAATATAGTGAAAATAAAAGATTTTGTGTATTTATATTTTTAAGATTTATTTCAATGCAGAGATTATAAAGATTGAGTTCAAAATTTTATTATAAAAGTTTTGAGTCTATTTTGAACTAGAAGGAAACTATTTTATCCTAAAACGACGATTCACATCTCCTGTTCCTTGTATGGAAAAATATATTTAGCTATTTGTGCTTGATACTAGTTATAAAGTAATCTGTAAGCAATTCTTTAATTACAGTCCTTTTTAACCAGCATTTTTTAAACTATCTGAAAAGATATACTTAGATGACTATTAACGTATGTGTGCACATACTGGTAATTAAAATATTAGTCAAAATTGTAAAAAGCTTGTTATCAAAAATATAAATACGTTATCAAAAAATTGTAAACTTTTAATATATAATTCATTTGTGATGCAATTAGAGTTTTAATATATGGCGAATCCATTTAAGTGCGAGAAACTTCTTGTATATAACTATGTAGATCTTACGTCTAACAAATGTATAATATTAAAAACTTGGATTTCATTAATTAAGGCACAAAATATATATACTTGTGTTGATTTTCTTCTCTTCTTTCTTCTTCATCCTTTTTTCATTTCACTCGGGATATATCTTACAGTTATTTATGGTGTCGTAAACATATTTCATTTCTGGGCGATCGTCTGCTTCAAAGGCCACACACTGCGAACCTAATAAAATCAAATTTTTACACATGTCCCGTTCACCATTTTGTATCGGTTGTCGTGCATCGATAAGATCGCCAAACTGATCTTTGCGAATACCCTTTATATATTCTGGTAACAAATATGGTTTACGATTTTGGTCAATTGCGCGCAAGCCTGTGAATGTCTCCAGTAACATAACGCCATAACTATACGTGTCTACCTTTGTGCTAAGCTTTTTGCCGCGTAAAAACTCTTGAGGCAAATATGGTTTTGTGCCGTAAATTTGCGATACAGTTACTGAGCGGCTTACTGAAGCGGGTCCTTCGCGGGCCAATCCGAAATCACCTATACGAGGTGTCAAACAAACATCAAGCAGCACATTTGCGGGCTTAATGTCACCATGTATAAGAGGTTTAATATCACAAACGTGTAGATAATTGATGCCACTGTAAATAAGTTAACATATTAATTAATATATTATTATAATATTTATTATTGTTTTTGGCATACCGCGCTGCACCGAGACAAATTTCGACACGTTCCTTCCAAGTCAATGGTTTTTCTTTTTTCGAGTATAAACGCTGCTCCAATGTTCCACCTTTCATTAGCTGATATACTAAACAAGGTTTTTCGCCATTCAACGAGTAACCAAATAGTGGTAAAACATTGTCATGACGATAACGGCTTAAATGCTTTAGTTCGTTGAGACTCTGCTGTAGTTGCACTTTGCTGCTGTCCCGGCCGTTAACTGCATTGTATTGTAACTGTTTGACAGCAACTTCGGTACACTTCCATGTGCCTTTATAAACAGTACCAAAACCACCTCGTCCAAGCTTTAAATGCTCACTCCAATTTTCAGTGGCTTCCGTCAATTCCTCGTAGCTTATTTCGATCATGTAGCGAGCGAATTCACGCGCATCTTGTTCAATGCGTTGCGTTGATGTAGGTGCGGTTTGTTCATAAGAGGAAATTGAGGTGTTGTTATTGGAATTACTTACACCGGATGAAGAAGAGTTTACGGGGCCATTGAGCTGTTTTATATTCGAATTAGCCATTAGCATAGTTAACCGTGGTTGACTCCGTGGTATAAGGAGCTGATATTTGCGCTCCACAAAGTCCTTCAACATACGCATGGCATGATGTTGTTCATTTCTGTTATAAACATTCAGGTTAGTAATTTTAAACAATTCATTAATTGATGGTTTTAATACATAAACAGGTTCTACCTTTATATCATTTTTTTCACTTACTTCCACAAGAGCATAAAAAGTTCAGTGACTGTATGCTTGCATTCAATACCCCACTTTCGTATCAACTGCCAAGATGGAGATTTGCCCAACTCTTGTTGTTGGTTTATAAACTGAAATAAACAAAATAAGCGAAATAAACGAAAAGTGTCGTTAAAACGAACGCAAACTGCTTTTGAGTGGCATTTGCCGGAGAGCTGACGATAACGTTAACGTCGGCGCCAGTGAATGGAGTTGCCGCCAGTTTAACTTGCTCACCTTCACATCGGCTGGTCTTAATTGCATGACTTCGGCCAATTGCGTCCAAACTTGCATTTCATCCAAATGTTCACATAACAAACGTAATTGTTGTGATGGCAGCTCCTCAATGTACCGGTCTTTAACATAGCCACTGCTCCTGCTGCTACCGCCAGAACTAGCTCCAACGCTGCTGCCAGCGCTATTACCATTTGCTATACCATTACTCGTTTCGAAGTTACCACTGTTGTTGGGTGATAAAATGCTACGAGATCGTGATACTGACATTCCAACTGTATTATAATGGAATCTTCTTTAATTTTATTGCTTTCTATTTGACGGTGAATTTGGTTGACTCATCCACCTTAGATGAGCAGATACATATCTTTATATTAATTACAATGCATTCAATTTAATCACAGTTCGGTAATAACTAATTGACAATTACTTTCGTAATATACGTATGTTCACCATATATAAAAACCTGAAAAAAATTAATTCGAGAAAATCCTTTAATTTAAACCAGGGCACATGCGTACCAGAGCTAAATGCGTACTTTACCCAATAATTTTTCAATTGAAGTGGAATTGTGCTCTGATTGCGCCTCTTCTGGGAAATCTCAACTGCAAATAAAAAATAAATAAAGCCCAAAACGAGCGCAACTAGTATACAGCGATAAATTTGTAAAACAAAACAAATAAGGCGAAACTGAAGAAAAGCTTTTAACACTAAAGGGAAACCTCACTTACAAACCAGAGAATGTAGATATATTTTACATTCTCTGTACAAACTACCTACAGCATTACCAAAGTTCGATTTTAAAATCAGTCTTTTAAGAAACCGTAAAAATCGAATATTGCAAAGTTTATAACACTTTTCTAAAACGACAAAATAATTCTAGACCGATTGCACTAACTTCTTTCCCCAAGTTGCAATACTGAGAGATATCTTAATAATTTTTGAAGAAAATTTTGACTATGCAACCAAATGTGGATAAATTTATAAGACAATGGACATAAAACAATTTACATTTATATAGTTTTTAGTTAAATGAAAACAAACCTTCTATAGAACATATTCTTATTTTAGATGTTGTCAAGAAAACTATTGAAGATCAATCTAAAATTTTTATTTGCTTGGGGTTCTCTTAAACGGAGGTCTACTGTGGGAAGAGAATGTTAACAGAAAATGTAAATGAATATTGAATCAAAGAATGTTAATAAATTTTAATTATTAACATTCGCTGATTGAATATTCATTTATATTCTCTGTCGGCACTCACCCAGTTCACACACTTTTTATAAGCTTTTCCTTAAAAGCTCGAAACATGTGATTTTGACAGCACTAACGAATGTGTAAAACAAAAGAAATTGAGAAGGAGACTAAATTAAATAAATATCATAATAAATAATCTAACAGTAATGTCTCGTGTTTACCATTGTTAGATAGATATATTTCCTGCGAATCTATTGTATTAACTATGAAGTGTCTTGTTTATATACGTGCGCAGTCAAGAGTGCTCTAATCTAGATGATAAGCTTAACATACATACATATAAGCATCCATTAAAGGTATAAAAAGCATTCCAACGTGTATGAAACCATTTAAATCTGAAGTTCTGATGCGAGTACACTACCTGTTGGCGTGTTCTACCCGAATTTTACCTGACAGTTGTACAAGCGTTAGAGAGTTATTATCGACTTCTCGAAATTTCCGTTCCCTCAACAGTCGAAGTGGCTTTACCATTAATAAATTGTAGGTAACCGTTATAACAACAACAACAACCACTAATACTTGTTATTACAGCAAGATAAGTGACTTGAAAAATAAATCTCAAAAAGTTTTGATACGCAGCAGCAGTAGCCAAAAGAACATCACTAACAAAATGCTCAACCACTTACCATTTTTTACCAGCGGAGAAATAGTGCATGGCTTTGGACGCGGTTCCAAAGAACTTGGCATCGCAACAGGTACATTAAAACATTGTAGAATTTTTAGCGGCTTTGAAGCTCTTTTCCTCTGAGCTTTAAACGTGGCATTGCCAATTCTTTAATTACCTTTAAAACTCAATGTCATTGATTTTTTGCTAATTGTTCTAATAATTTCATTTATATAACATAAACAGCAAATTTTCCTTTGGAAGTGGTGAAAGCGCTACCAGCTGAAATAACTTTGGGCATATACTACGGTTGGGCGAATGTGGACAATGGTGATGTGCATAAAATGGTAATAAGCATAGGAACGAATCCCTACTATGACAATCAAGAGAAGAGTATGGTGAGTTTATTAAATCAATATTTCAATTTATTTTTATTGAATTGTGTTGCATCAGAATATTTCAAGTACTTTCATTTGAATCTTGAATATATCTATGTTTGTATGCAAGTATGTGCCATGATGAACATTTTGCCGCTTTTTCAAATCTGTACAATACATAGCTAATTATTAGTTATTTTTTCTGGAATTACCATATTATATCATTTGTTAGTTTAACAATTTTTGACACATACATGTATGAACATATATATGTATATATAGCTAGTAAGCTAAGTTTCGCACACATTTTCTATCAATGTTTTTTATTATAAATATTTTATTAAAAGCGTTGAAATTTCAAGTTATTTTATACATTTCCAAATTTTATATGGGCATTACTACTTACATCATATTGGTTCAAATTTGTAATAAATATTAATAAATTATAATAGAATTCACCTATATTTAATGCAAGTGCAAATGTTAATGTAGAAGTCACAATCACAATGTATCACATATTCACAAATGTGTACAATTCTACATATATATTAATAATTGACGCCATATGACGTAATATGTTATTTAACGTTAAATTCATAGTTTCCTTTAACTAGATCAATTCAAAAGGCTGTTCTATAACACCAATAGTATTTTGAAACCAATGAAATGTGTAATGATGTGGAAAGGCCGGGAAATACAAGGGATGTATTTGTTTACTGAAATTGATAATACAATGAATTTGTGTTATATAGTATATATGTATATAAATTACGTCTCATGTTGATTGTCCGAAGTAAACTTCAGTAGGAACCGATTTTAGTAAAATTTAACACACTGTGTTCAGTTTAATCCAACTTAAAAGATAAGATAGTTTATATTCTAATTACGTTAAAAGTCAAAACAATTCATAAATAAAAAAAAAATTATATTTCAAATCATAAGCATGTTATTATAATTCATGTAAGAATTATTTTAATATTTTATTACTTCACAAAAATAAAATAACAACACAGAGATATCTACTGAAGGCTTCACGTAATTTAAATATATACCAACTATAACGACTTTGCCTAAATAATGTTTGTTTTCCCATGTACACACATACATATGTTTTCGATATTTACGCAATTAATACGCAAATAAATCAACAACTTTGAAAAATGATTTTTCGCTATACAAAAAAAGTGTTATAACGAACACCCTAATGTATATACAACACATTATATAGATGCGTGTACCAATATTGTATGTTATAGTATTGTTATTAATAGTTTTATTATTTGTGAATATGCTATCACTTTCAATAGTTATTTAATTTCAAAATGTGATTGGTGTGATTTGATATGTTTTAAATAAATACCTCGGACCGCAACTGGCTTCATAACTACTAACATATTTGTATGGGTAAATATGTTTCATAGGAAACCCCTAATCAATTTCTCTTCCTAATTCCTGATCAATGAGGGCTTATTTTGCTGATATCAAAGCAACCTGTTATAAGTTATCTAGCAAATTATCCCAGGTGGTTCGCTGGTACACTGTTTTTGAAGATATGTATATGTCGTCATAGTTTTGCATGCCCATATGAAAAATGCAAAATACTATGCTTTAGAACAGCCAGAGATAATGTTTACGTTTCAAAACAACAAATTAATTAATTATTTTAATATAGAAATATGTTATATGTATATATCTGCAGAAGCATACAATAACTGTTTTCACTTAATTTTCTAGGAAACACACATTCTACATAAGTTCGATGGCGATCTATATGGACACCTCTTAAAAGTTTGTATCGTTGGCTACCTACGTCCAGAACGTAATTTTGACTCTCTCAAAGATCTAATTACTGCCATTCAAAAGGATATCGAAGATGCCAAAAATTTATTGGATACCGATGAGAATAGTCGCCAATTGCAATATTCGAAATTTTTCAAAACTAACAGTAACGAAACCGTGAAATCAGCGCCGGTAAATAAGAAGGAGGATAATATAAATAATGGGTCATAAAATATGTTGTAGCTGTCAGTCCGTGGTCGGATACAAGTACAGATCCGGCTCGGTCTCGTCGAGCCAAATTTCGTATGACGAAAAATGAATAGCTTTGACATAATTGTTATACAGGTGAACAACGATCGACCTCTTGGCTGCTATCTTTATTTAACAACGAAATGCTTTTAAATTTAATATTTTAGTCCTTGTTTAAGCTATATAAATGTATATATACATACATACATATATGTACCTATATACTATTATTGATTGATTGATCCGTTCCCCTAACAGTAGGGTCTACGTAATCGGAACGGACCCGGATTTTTTCCGGCCAAGGACTGTCAACTCGGGAAAAATTCTGCCGCTGCAACAACAACAACAACACACCATTATTGATTATGAAAAAAAAACGGGAAAAATTTATCGAATATCAAATCTAGAATAATTGGTCCTTCTTAAATCAATTACTGACTAATTTAAGTTGTAGTGCAGTTCTGTTACATAATTGGATTATTTTATTTTTTTTGTTCTACTTAAACCCGTAACATGTTACTTACTTATGTAAATGTACTTTTTGAATGATAAAATTAGTTACTTAATATGTTCATATATAATATAATGCGAAATATGTTTATATGATATTCTTGCGAAAATGTACAAATTGTAAGTATGCTTAAATTCATAGTCATTTACTTTAAATCGATAGTATAAATTGTACAGAAAATAGTAATCGTATATGTTTAAAAATTATGCATATACACATAGATAAATAAAATGATTTAAAAAATTGTAAAAGTGTATTTGCATTTAAATTTCACAAGATTTCTGGGATAATTAGACAATTAAGGTTAGTTGTGTAAATATACATATACGAGGTGTGCTCAAAGGAATGGGCGAATTCTTATTTCTTGCGGGCTGTGTACATTCGATTATCGATATTTTGTTTTTGTTATAATCGGGCACATATGTATGTTTATCATGTGCTTGCATTAGGAGCCAATTTTGATTAGTGGTTTGCTTTTGACAACAGAAAAGGTTAGTCACGTTTTTGTGTGCTCTTCGATTTTGGACTTTTGAAAGAAATGGAAACGTGTGGCAGCGAAGTTTGTTTCGAAATTGCTAAATTTTGAGCAAAAGCAATGTCGCATTATTCGTAATTTTTTGGCCAAAAACATAACCGTAATCATACCTCAACCACCGTATTTACCAGATTTGGCTCCCTGCGACTTTTTCCGATTCCCAAAACTGAAGAAACCAATGAAAGGAAAGCGTTTTGCTACAATTGATGATATCAAGTCTGAATCGAAGAAAGAGTTGGTGGCCATACCGAAAAGAGGATTTCAGAAGTGCTTCGAGAATTGGAAAAAGCGTTGGCACAAGTGTATGACATTCGACGGGGATTACTTTGAAGGGGAAAAAATAGATATTGATGAATAAATAAATATTTTTCAAAAAAATTCAAAATTCACCTTTTCCTTTGAACACACCTCGTATATGTATGTACTGTGCATACGAATGCTTCTCCTAGAAATTCATCAAATTGCAGTAGTTCTTAGAAAAATTCTCCTGTTTTACATACTAAAACCCATATTACTCACATCATTCCGTCATACTTTTTCAGGCATTCTTACGATTCAATAGTGCAGTTACATATGTAAGTAGTTTTTTATATATAGGATTGATTTTATTAAAAACGCTCAAGTCTTTATCCTGTGGTCTTATTAAAGGCTGGACTTGGACTGGAATTGAGAGATGAAAATCAGTCTCAGGAGAAAAATGTACTATGAATACAAAATAAACAATATAGCGACGTAAGATAATTCATTCACGATTAAGAAAGTGGAAAGTGCCAGACTTTGTTTACATTAATAAAAAAAATTGGATAAGCAAGCATTCTATATAAAAATAAATGAATGTTTAGTCTAAAACAATTTCTCTGTCTTATTAACTGGAACTTATAGAAAAACATGTAAGGAAAGGCTAAATTCGGGTGGAACCGAACATATTATACTGTTGCAACTTGCAAGAAACAAAGGCGGAGGAACACCTTCAGGTTTTGGCTTTATATCAAACTAAGGAAAGTATCGCCGTGTTTTCATTCATTTAAGGAAAGAGGATACACCGTTATTAGAAAAATATTTTTTCTGAATTTCATTAAGATTTCTTATATATTGACCGATAGATGCGGCATGAAGTGAACTGGAGGTTCAAAAGTAAGTGTTAAGTATATGGGGGCTAAGGGAAGTGTTGACCCATTTTTGGCACTATTATAGTGCGATTTTGACAATTTTTGAGCGTAAGATGAAATATCTTGAGAGCACTATTTGTGCAAGATTTTATTATTCAGACGGAATTAAAAAGTTTATTATATGACAATTAGGTGTGGTTGTCATCCGATTCAATTTGGTTGAAATTGGTGAATAGTCGTTAATATATAGGATCTCACCTAAAGGTCCCTTGTCCAATTTTCACACCAGATCCTAAAAAGCTCTCCTCTACCATCCTGGTTGTGAAATTTATTGCATTTGGCTAATTTTTTCAGTGAGTTATAGCACATTTAGTACTTTTCAACATAACCGTTATAGGTGAGTGGGCATCCTTATTATCCAAATTTACCCATTTTCAGAGAGTTTATAAAATCATTTTCAGCAAGTTAGGGTGATATATCTTAAGCAGTTTGGAAGATATGTACATTAAGCCATTTAGAGGGCGGAACCACGACCACTTTTAAAAAATGTTTAGCCCACAGGTGTCCCTGGCTACTGCGATCTCCTGCATCAAGTTACAGTTTTTCATCTTAATTTGCTGGTTAGTTACGGCACTTTAAAGGACGTTTTAATGACGTTTTGTGAGCGTGGCAATGATACGATTCCGATCATTTGCAACACCAACCACCCGGAACCATCCACCAAGGAATATGTGTACCAAGTTTCATGAAGATATCTAAATTTTTGCTCAAGTGATCACACAGACAGACAGACGGACGGATGGACAGACAGTCACCCGGATTTCAACTCGTCTCGTCATTCTGATCATTTATATATATAATATATATAACCCTATATCTATCTCGATTAGTTTTAGGTGTTACAAACAACAGTTAGGCGAACAAACTATTATAATTTGTAGCAACATGTTGCAAGAGTATAATTATAGACAATTAATGGAATTTTGGTTTCAAGCATTATAATTATGTATGGTATACTGCAGATAACAGTGATAATTAAGTTTATATGATTATTAATGACGCGTGAATATTTATAATTTTAAAATATCGCTTATAAATATTATTTCTCATACATAATATATAAAGTACATTATTAATAGACAATCGAACACTTTTCTTTTGAATATAAATTTATTTAACGTGCCATTATTTGGTTTAATTCTAATTAATTCGTCATCTAGCTGCTAAAAATGCCATAATTTATTCTATGGCAAAATTGACTGTGTGTCTAAAATATCTGAAAGATTTTCTATTATATACATACATATCTATTTCTAAAATCAAAGTATTAGCAAAAAATACATTACTAAATTTATCAATTTAATTTGGGTATCGCAGACCACTATGCGTCAACACTTGGGTTAATGATTATGATCACAATTAAGCAACAATGACAAGGGCATGAGAGCGGGTGTTGAGCGATCACTATTGTCGTTGGGATCTGAGCTCTGCGCTTGCTTCTACTCGTCCACAAGTAAGAAACAAGAAATCAGTTTAGAATTATTCGTCGCGGCATTAAGTCACAAAATTATTGCATGTGCTTTGGTACGCAATAAATCGCTTAAACGATACGCACATGGTAATTGTTGTACTTCAACAACGTTGAATGAAATCCTAATAACTCGCGCGACGTTTGCGTAACGCATGGTTGACCGAAGAAAACAAGAGGCTGCAAACCGGAAACCGTAGGCAGTGCGTTAAGGCTAACAAGCGCGTTCATACAATAAATCAATAATCAACTATCTACAAGTGGCATTGAAAATGGCAACTACTGAGATCAGTGTAGGTACGATAGGTGACACTCCATACGCCATTGAATTACAATTAACAGAGGCTGACATTATTTTAGAGAAAAATGATACAAAAGTAACATTGGACGCTGCCGCCGAGCCAGAAACTGGATTAACACATGAGTGCGGTGTTTTCGGTGCCATCGCCTGCGGTGATTGGCCGACGCAAATTGATGTGGCACACGTGATTTGCTTGGGATTGGTAGCACTACAACATCGAGGCCAAGAATCGGCAGGTATTGTGACAAGTGAAGGCAAATGCTCAAGAAATTTTAATACCCACAAAGGTATGGGCATGATCAGTACACTCTTCAACGATGAGTCCATCAAGAAACTCAAAGGCAATCTAGGCATCGGCCACACACGTTACTCCACCTCAGCTGCCTCTGAGGTAGTCAATTGCCAACCTTTCGTTGTACATACACTGCATGGCGCCATTGCTGTAGCGCACAATGGCGAACTAGTAAATTCTGAATCGCTTAGGCGGGATTTGCTCGGTCGTGGCGTTGGTTTGTCAACACACAGTGATAGTGAATTGATTGGACAAGCGCTATGTTTGTGCCCCGAAGGTGCTTCCGAAGAAGATGGACCAGACTGGCCGGCGCGCATACGAAACTTTATGCAATTAGCGCCACTATCGTACTCACTTGTTATGATGTTTAAAGATAAGATATATGCGGCGCGCGATCCATACGGCAATAGACCACTTTGCCTTGGAAAAATTATGCCTATCAATGGCGAGTTGAATGCTAAGGTTGAGAACGTGTCCGCCGATGGTTGGGTGGTCTCGAGTGAAAGTTGTGGTTTCTTGTCAATTGGGGCGAGATACGTACGGGAAGTTGAACCGGGGGAAATAGTGGAATTGACGCGCAACGGCTTCCGCACCATCGATGTGGTCAAACTACCTGAATATAAGCGCATAGCTTTCTGCATTTTCGAATATGTTTACTTTGCGCGCGGCGATTCGATATTTGAGGGTCAAATGGTGTATTCGGTGCGCATGCAGTGCGGTAAGCAGTTGGCACGCGAGGCCTTAATCGATGCAGATATTGTTAGCTCTGTGCCAGAATCGGGTACGGCAGCGGCGCATGGCTATGCTAGAGAGGTAAGTATACACAAACTAAGTTATTGCAATTGTTAAGCATACGATTGGAAACATTGAATAAAAAACGTGAACGAAATAGTGTACAACTATAATCCCTATTAGGCACATCAAGCAAATTTTAAGTATTGTTAATTAAAAGCGTTTCATTTTATAAACTTAATTTATTGTTCTCAAAAAAACTCTTCTTTTTCAAAAAAAAAAAAAAGGTTGCAAACACCTTTTGCTGTAAAAATAAAACATTTTAAAGTAATTCCTATAAATGTGCTCATTAATTGTAGAAATTAATTAATTATACGTATGTATGCATATATATAAATATTGCAATATGTTAATATTTTGAAAGTGGTTTCCTTATCTACTAAATATTAATTTTTAGATTTCCGACAACTATGATATAGCGATAATGACCCTTGAGTGCCTAAATCCACTCTAATAACCAATTTTTCCAAATAAATTGCTTGATCATTTCGTAGTTTATGTATTTTACAGTTTTATTAATCGCTCGATTTACTACGTCTATTTTTTGGGGGCACATTTTAGTGGCTGTCAAATATACATACATACATATTTATGTATGAATATGTATAAAGAATTATATTACTTCTAAATCTTTTTCTTCCTCACTTCACTTTAGTCTGGATTACCATTTGCTGAGGTACTCTGTAAGAACCGTTACGTAGGCCGCACATTTATTCAGCCATCGACACGTTTGCGCAAATTAGGTGTCGCTAAGAAGTTTGGCGCGCTTTCCGAGAATGTGGCTGGCAAGCGACTTGTTCTGATCGATGATTCAATTGTGCGCGGAAATACCATCGGACCAATTATCAAATTGTTGCGCGATGCCGGAGCAGCAGAGGTACATATACGCATAGCCAGTCCACCGCTGCAATATCCATGTTACATGGGCATTAACATTCCCACTCGTGAAGAGCTTATTGCCAACAAATTGAATGCAGAGCAATTGGCCCGACATGTGGGTGCAGACAGCTTGGAATATTTAAGTGTGGAGGGACTCGTAAAAGCAGTGGAAATGAACAAACAGGTTTCTAGTCCGAATAAAAGCGGACACTGCACAGCTTGTTTAACTGGCGAGTATCCCGGTGGACTTCCGGAAGAATTGAGTTGGTAAATGCAAGGCATATAGAGAAAGCAGAACCAACAACTGAATAATAATTTATATTATTGTTCTTATAAATTCTCATAAGACGATTATTTATGCGTCGCGAGAAAACGTAAAATATTTATTTACGTTAGAAGTTGTAAGAATTTTTTAAAAGTTTTAATTGTTGATTTATGCATTATAAATACTACCTATACACTATACACTATACTAGTATACTCCATTTTTAATTTATAATATATTTAAAAGATAATAGCCTTTAGAGAAAGGATATCTTGCATTTAATTAGCTATCTAGACGCTAAAAGCACTATGGGGAAATTCTTTTTTAAATAAAAGTTTGTGTTCTTATACTTACATACATATATGAATGCACATGTACATACATTGTATATTATAAGTGTAACTTCTGCACAATAATTTTTGAAAATGAGTTAATTTGCTAAATTTTTGTTTATATTAAGCATCTCTTCCATTGAAGTACAATAATAAAATAAATAAACAGAAATTTTCCTTTTTATTTCTTGATGTAACGAACTAGCAGCAGGTTTTATATTTGTTTATTTATGCAGAATGATTGCAACTTGACATTTATTCTATGCTGTCATTAAACAGAACCTCATGATGTTTGATGTATTTCGAAGAATAGTGACCAAAATAAATAAAGCCCTAAGTCAGCGCTAAGAGTAAGCAAAATGACCCATCGCGAATAAATTAAAACTATTAAATTTAATAACTACGACTGTGTATATGTAAACTTTCAATTCATCCTCGTAGAGAAGAAATGAAAACCTCCTTTGTTTCTGTTAGAATACCCGAAAATGGATTTCTTCTGTAAAATAGCGGCGAGTTCGGTGTTTAATATCTTTATATACATACATATGTTTGATGGAAACTAAGTAAACCCTTCACGTCGGAGATCAGCAGTAGTAAGTAGAAAGGTGCACTGAAACTTAGAACAATAGAAGACCCACAACTCTATTTCTGGAATAACAACGCATTTTCCTTTGCCTATGCAGTTTACAAACGTAATTTATTTCTCTTAAATTAATTTATTGTAACTGTTCGGCAAATTTGATTCGCATTTGCTAATTTTTTGGTAAATAATAATTAATAAGACCAAGGAATACAAACTCGTATTAGCTAACAGCAAAAATTATGTATAATTAAAAAAAAAGATACAATTTTAATTAAAGAAATAGAATACCGAAAATACCTCAAGTAACTTTAATTAAAAGCGTTACTTTAATTAAAAAGCATATACGTCACGTTTGTTTGCTTTATAAAAATTAAAGCGCCAGCTGATTGTGTAATTTAACACATAGATGTATGTACATATAAATTTTTTTAAAATTATTTTAATTTTATTTTGCTTATATTTCGGTATAGTGTATTGCTATACCTTCCATTGTCTATAGGTATGATTTTTAATTTATTTATTAATGACTCTAAATTTATTACTTTATAGTGTTGTTGCATTGGGCGCATGCAGATTGACTAATATTATTTTATTTCCATGCTTGTTTTAATAGTTTGCGTGAGGCCAGATGCTTGACCACCAATGAACCGCTTGTTAGGGCCAGCAACACAGCCGTAATTAATGTGTAATCAAAGTCTTCTTTTAGCAAATCAAATGTCTTTGATGGTGCAACGCGCGTCACGAAAATATCTGCAAAATATATTAATAACATTTTTGCTTATTAAATGATTATTCTACAAATAATTTGAAATATTGTTGTCTGACACTGACCTAAACCAGTCGCCAAAACCAAACATGTACTCTCCAAACCACTGGGTGCTGTAAATATATTGCTTAAGCGTGCAATTGTCTGATTGTAGTTTATGATATTCTCTGTTGGTAATGGCAATTCAGGAATGTAAGGTATAGCACCCTCCTCTCGGCCCTGTGTGTTCGTTGTTATTGGGCGACGCGGATCGAGCAAAGCCCAAGGCATCTCAATGATGGCTCCACTTACTGTGCCAACTATAAAAGAACAAAAAACAAGTTTAGTTTAAACTGTACGAATTGGAAAATAAATATTTTTTTGACATACTCAGCACATGTTTATTTGTTATGCCGCGCTCGGTAATAGTCTCTCGCATTGTCTCCACTATTGTAGGTATGATATAGGATTGCCGTTCAACCATTGGCAAGGGAGGTGCATTTAATGAGCTCCAAACGGTGCTGTTGGCCTGTGTTTTGCCTTCGTATAATTCTATTGTAGCTGCAAATATTAAATAAATTTAAAATATTTGTTTATGTTTTCGTCTAACAAAATTGAAATAGTTACTGATTTCGGTGCGGCGCACTTTGTCGTTATAGTACGAATAAGCTAGCCAGTTTTCGGAATGCACAATATGTACCGGTACTCTGGCGCGGCGGTGGGACATAGAGAAAACAATTAAGCCAGATACAGCATCGATTAGATAGACGTTCAATAAAACTGTTAACATAAGAGAGAAATGTTAAATAAAAGGTTTGATAATTGGGTAACCTGTACTCACATTTGTGTGTAGGGTCGGTGGCTTGCGTGACCACAGTAACTAAATTGGGATTGATATACTTATAAAGCACAGACCGATCAACTAACACACGGCCTTGCGAGTGAACATGTTCTAAAGGATTTTTTCCAGCTACCGCGACTAGTTGATGGTCATTGTTGTGACCACCAAGGCGCACATTCCATATCGGTAGAGAACTTAAAACCTATCAGTACATAATAAATTATAAGAAAATAAGTGTATATATAAATGTGTATAAGCCCTTACAGCGTCGGCATATTGTACAAAGAAACCGTCCAAAACGGCATTTGATTTGTCTGCAGTGAACAAATACATGCCATGTGCCTAAAAGTAAGCGTCGAAAAATTCGCAAATAAAAAAGTTGCTCTGCAAGTGTCATATTATGTAATATTTTACCATCTCTTGAACGTATTGAGGGTATACGGCAACATTGTTTTGTCCGTCGAGTAACAGCAGCCCTTTTATATAATCCTTTTCCGATTCAGCTAGCAGCGTAAGCTGTTTGATTTTGTAATTCAACTTCAATAGTCCACCTTCGGCGGGCTTACCATTGATCGGATTAAAGCGAAATAGCACACCATTGCCGGTTAGCTGAATAAAACAAGGAAAATTAAAAATGTATACATATGTATATTAGTGCGATTCAATTTTTTCTAAAAAATCGCATATGTGGGAAATGTTCTATGGATCATTCTGAACATTTTTTCCTAATAGAATATGGGTGTAAAACCGGTTTTGAGCCAGCGACGTTTTAAGTGAAGTTTTTTTTTCGAGATTATAAAAATTTCTCGTCAGTTTTCGTGATATTCGAATGAAATTGACACATATTCAGAATGATCTGTAGAATCCCGCCAATGAGATTTTTTCCGTTTTTTTTGGCTTCCTGTAAATCAACCCGCTCTTATGTATGTACACATGATTGACGGTAGTAAAATATTGTGAATTATTTTTACCTTTTCCTTAGCTACCACAGTGCAAAGTGGCTGTAGTGGGAAATGCTTAGATGTACGCTGTACCAGTAATCGCATAGGTTCCTGATTTACGAAATTTTGAATATCGCTTAAATAAAGCTGCCAATGATGTTTACCGCTTATGTTATCAATGCCAAAGATTTTACCACTGCGTGTCAACACAATCAACATTTTATGCAATCCAAAAGAATCTCGTACTAATCCAGCCTTCTGTGTATCAGTTGGTGGTTGTCCCAAGCCAATAACATGTAGAAATATGCTCTTAATTTGCATAGCTTGAGTAGATATGCGCCGCGAAAATGCACTCATAATATCACCTAAATACAATTATACAATTATATACTTTACGCAGAAATTTTAACTACGCACATTAACATAACTAAATATATAATAAGAAAAATTAGGTGCTAAAGCAATTAAATGGTTCACAAATAACAAAATATATGTATTATTTGCATATGTCTACATATAAGATAGCATTTTTTGCAATTAAAAAAAGATGTATATTAAAAATAAATCAAAAGAGCATCAAAAAAAAAAAAAAAAAGCACGACAATCAGGGGTTTTGTTCATAAATGTTTACAATTTTTTAACTGCTTACTCACTTTCCAGTCTCGTAGCATCCTCTTAAAATTCCAGATTACAGCGTAAAAAAATTACCAGAGAAAATAAATATATAAATATCTAATGAAAGCATCATATTTGATACTAAAGTATTTTAAAGTCCGCGTGCAAGAAACAATTTTGTATGTTTTTTTTATTGAAAGGGATCAATTTTTTTTTTTCTGTCATATGCTCTTCACTTTAAACATTAAATATTTAGCATACCTGTATTTCCCCTCATTTCATTTTCTAATGTTCCCTCTGCATCAGCAAGCGGTAAATCAATGAATTCACTAGCCACTATATTTGCTAGGGACTCCTGTCGTACCCAGCGCAGTTTGCCCTTGCTCACAGCCAAAATGGACTCGTCTTCAGTGCCGAGCACATACAAACAACCTTTATTTTGTGGTGCACAAGCGAATGTTTTCAACGTTGGTGTGCCATAATAATCAGCATAATCCATATTAATAGTCATTTCTGGTACTGACTCACAACTATCCACATAGTGTCCTCGAATTTGCAAAACCTAAAAAAAATGTATAATTGATTGTGACGCTGACATAGTTTTACTCTCAGACAAGACATAACCACACTTTTGAAGCAAAGAAGAATCTATTTATATTTAAAGATTAAATAATTCTAAGTTGCCTTCATTTATACTTTGGTTGTTATGTTTTCTTTAGAAAGCATATATATGTCTATAGCTCACATTATTAACAACGTCTGCTTGCGCTAAAACTCGTCGTTTTTGGAATCTTCCCAACATGAAACTAATACTTTCATAGTTGTTACATACAACAGAGGCTTCATGTATGCTAACCAATCTTTTTCCAATCAAATAAGCACCGCTTATACCCTGTAATATTGCTTTTGTTAGAATTGAATAAAATATTTGGTATATGTAATTTATCACTAACCTCCACAGCACGAAGTTTATCCTTTGAAACATTCTCCAAAGTTTTTCGCAAAATTTGTGGCTGGCTTGCCGTCAAATCAATGCCTATCATCTGATTACCTTCCAAACAGGTATAGTAAACACCGCTAAGGATACATTTGTCAGCATTAATCCATCCAGCAGATATTCTTCCTGTTGTTTCTGTTGCCCGTCCAGTTGTGGCGAAATATGGCGTCACTTCAATATGACTATGCCATGTTGGAATCACATGATACAGTAAACCGTTCTTATAGAACCAAAAGGATGATTCAGCGCGTTCTGTTTGAAGGGGCATTAAAGACCATTCCCATTCTAGATTACCACTGGCCACATTCCAGCCACGTACTAACGCAGGTGCATGACCTTGTACGGTAAGGACATCGAAGCCGTGCTTTGAATTAGTTGGTGCTGCTGCAGTGCTCTCAGGTTCATTTATATTCACTGAAGCCGTTCCCACCTGCATTAACTTTAGATCTCCACGTGGTAAATTTTCAAGTACTTGTCGCCATACTATTTTTCCAGTCTGAGGTTCCAATACGGCAATTACATTTTCTTGGGTGCTAACCAGCAAACGTGGACTAAGGGGATTTAATTCTAAATGCGCCTGATCGATCGCTCCGATGTTTTGTAGCCTCCTGAATATAATTTGTTATCAGTATACAATTGATTAATTACAAATGTTTAGTTTTTCCATTGCTTACCAATCGAATTTTTTTATTTGATCCTCGTAAAGCGCATTGACAAAATTTGAAAAGAACAACAACGATAAGACTAATAGGCCCCCTGAGCAGAGAGTAGTTTGCGAAAGCATAATGAAGCGCCCGACTGGATTTTACCAAATTCTATTTTTTATTGAGAATAGTGGTAAAACTTTATTAATTTTAATAAAAAGCAAATGAACAAATTAGATTCATTACCGGTCATAAACGTGAAAAACGAAAATAGGTAACTTGTCTAAATAAGAAAAATTAAGTGACTGTC